TAAACTAAAGCAATGCTTCAGAAATGTATTTCCTACATTTCAGCAACATGAAACAAGAAAAACATTCCCAGATAAGATTTGTGACAATGATATTTTGAAACCTAAACCCAGGAGAAGGAACTAAAGGCTAGTTTGAACAAGATGCAACCTATGCAGACAGTATCTCAGGAGAATGCACCACACACTGACTCATAAAAGCAACCCTTCCAAGCTAGAAGCATCTTAGGTTTATAGAAGTGGGATGCAGCTACCATTTCTTGTCAAGCTGACAGTTTTGGCATTCAGTTTTGGCATCAATAAAGTCTCTGAAGGAACTGGACTAATACTATGCCTCTACTGCATGAATTTTTGGAAATAAATGCATTGAAGTGGTATAATCATTTACATGCTCAAAAAAACCTCTTCATTTGGCCTGAAAATAATTTGCCTTGTTTCTCAGCATAAGCTTGTATCTCTTAACAGTTAATCCTGTATGCATTTCCAAGCTAAAGGGCTAAAGGGAAGCTGACTGCTTTGAAGTTTGATGTTAGGTCTACACCTTAAAGGCCAGCATTTCATGTGATAAGGGTTTTACAGCAACATCAACTGAGCCCTGCTGCAAAATGAGCACCTTTCTCTTGCTGAATGCACCCAGGCTTCAGGCCCATTAACAAAGCTGCTACATTCATGCAGCACTGGCACCACCCTCCCTCTAACTTTGCAGTTTATCTTCTAGAGCTCCTTGCTGTCCCAAAGTTGATTCTTATCTATTATGTTGAATTTACCGAATTTTAACAAACACACTTTTTCTGCAGCTGTTCCTTTCTAGCTACAAAATTAACACTATTCTTTGTTAACTCTGAAGATCTTTTCCTAACATATTTAGACAAAATATAATAGTTCATATACATTAAACAAACAAAAAAATCAATTTACTGTATCACACTTAATTAACAAGTTTAAAATATATTCAAGTCTAAAGACAATTCTCTGAGAAACAGCATCCAGATAATTAAAAATAATGCTGAAATTTGTTCAATGGCCTAGAAGATATTTTCCAGGCTCTTCCCAAACTGGAGCTATAGTCCCCCACAAGGCCATTTCCTTGCATGCTCTAGAAACAATCAGATGTGCAGCATGCAGATCCAGGGAACAGGAAAAGCTAACTGGACAGAGGCCTGTGGTCTTCAGTAACCCTTGGTATCAAGACACACAGGCAGATTTGCCTGTCCAGGATATCAAACCTAAAGCTTTCCCTACAGGGCAAACAGAAAATTTCAAAGCATTCAAATCCTTCAAAGACTCAAACGGCTGATCACCTAACTGAAGAAACCCACTTGTGTATAATCTACCAAAAATAACCCACAATTAAAAGATAACAGAAGCCAAAGCAGTTTAAACACATATCCAGCATTATTCAGACAAGAAGCTTTTGATAAACCCAGTTGAAAGCACTTGCTTCAAAATTCTCAGGTTGGTGGAACTGGAGGGAGGTAACAAAACAGTGAGAAAGCCTCTGGGCACACAGATCACTGCTGCATTTCTGAGGGGGTCCAAACCTTCTGCAATGCACTAGACTGGAGCTGAAGTACCCCCATCTGTGATCTGCTCAGCTGCTTTTTTGTCTAAAATCCAGTTTTAGGTACCACCTTATCTGGATTCTGCTTTTTGGAAACTAGTCGTCTTTAAGTTGGCATAATAATGTATGTCTAAACCTGTCTTATTATGAGATAAGTTTAAAACAACAGCTTAAAATAACAGCCATTTTCTATAAATTCTATTCTATGTCAGAAGCAGAAATCATTTGCAGCAAGTTTTTTTGACTGTTTTGTTTTTGGGGTTTTTTTTAAGTATTGAATGTTAACACTTAGCCATCCAAAGAAATCCCTGCATCTGCTTGTGGAGGGTGAGGAGGCAAGCCACAGAAAAATAGATAGAATAAAATGGTTATTTCTTCAATTTATTTGCAGCATGGTAACTTAAAAGATGGGTGCACAGAGTATTAGAAGTCTTGAAATTATGTTTACACACCAAAATGTTAGTGAGAAGTTACTTACATCTGCATCCTGAAGTAGCTATTCCCAATTGATTCAGGTAAGAAACATTATGTATAGCTTATTTAAAACATTCACTTCAAATTGCAATAATGCCAAATACAAAGTACTTGATAAGCCAATTTTATTTTCAAGTTTAAGTCATAAGATCTCTCTAGTGTAGTTTTACTTTTTTCCCCACATACATGGAATCTTCAATGTTGAAGAGCCCTGCTCAGCAACACCCCTTCCCCTGGATTTCAAACCTGTATTTTCTTTATGACAAATGAATTATTTTATTACAGGTTTGTTAAAAGATACTAAATGAAAACCAACTTATTTCTCTTGATCCATTGTGTCAATATTTAACCTTTACCATACTGTTCAGTGATGCACAGTAACGTGCTATTAAAATGCATAAAAGGCAAAGGAGCAAACATTTATCAAATAAAAAATGGGTAACAGATCACACAGTGAAGAGGGATGCTAACAGAAGGATCTACAGAAAGCTACTCAGTGCTACTACTTCTGCAGAGCCTGAACCACATTCTGAAGACACTGAATCAACTCAAACCAGGCTTCTTGCATAGCTTCTGACGAAGGTTGTCACCAAATAGTGCTAGAGAAAAGTACAGTGAATTGTCCAAAACATTCAAGTAACAAACGAGAGGAATTGTAACAATGCAAATTCAACAGCCTTTTTCTTATCACATTGCACTTCACGTTTAGCTCCTTTTCCACTTCCTTTTGGCACAAGTTTTTTGGGCTGCTGGTGGTGTCATTTGTCTTGCTTTCATTTCAGTTTCTAAAGCCATTTAAATACAACGAAGTATAAAGGAACAACAAACAAAGTACAGTACTTCCAAAAATGAATTTTGCATCTATGTGGAATCAGCAGACTACACAAGTATTTTGGAACAGGTGGGAGACTTGTGTTACTGGGTGGCAAGAACAAGAAAAATCAAATGAAACAGAACTTAGAAGCAAGCTAATGACCGAGATTGGCCTCATTAAAGCAAATCCTATTAAAAGCCTTACTAACTTAAAGCTAGGCAAGGAAAGCATCTTCTGCTAACAGCATTACTGCTGTGACCCACAACTAGGAGCAGACCTCACACCAGTGTCCTGGCCCCCAACTTCTCTTCACTTGATAATGCTCATTTCTTTTCAGAGGAAACAGCAGTGACTTTGTAGTGATACCTGAAAACTGCATGTGCAGAAGGCTACACATCTCAAAAACCACTGTGGGAACCAGCAATGGCAACTCATACTTCTTAGGATGCATACTGACAACTAAACACAACTTTTGGTTTTTGAAACTGGTTTCACAGCAAAAAAATTACTTTATGAGAAGATTGATAGCAAGCTGAACTACAAAATGTGTCTAAGTAATTAGAAAATGCCATTTCCCCTGAAAGATGCATCTGTCACTGCAATTGAAAAATGCTTTCTAATGCACTATAGTAACATTGACATAACACAAACACATTTTATGTTGTATCTTCCTTACATCATTTTACCTACTTTGACCAGAACATCTATTTGTGAATCTAAATTTACTAATTTAAATTTTGTTCTGCATCACAGTGCCCTGTCAGAAAGTGATCTGTATTCTTATCTCTAAAAGATACCCACCACTGCTTCAAGAGAGCAAAAAGAAAAAAATCCACAGAGAAAGGGGGAATCCCAACATCAGACAAACCTTGTGTTTTAATAACAGACATGACTCTTTTCATAAAACTTCTTGTGTGGCATTGCCCAAATACACAAATTGCAGACATTTGGGCTGAAAATTATTTCATCAGAAGACAAAATGAAAGACTGAGTGTCTTTTCATTTGATAAATGACGTTTTAAGGGCATCAGTCTTCTTTTAAAATACAAAAGAAATCTCAAAACAGACAAAATCCATAGCTGTGTATAACTTCAGCATTTCTTGAGGGAAAGAATTTCTTGCACAAATTCTTATAATAAAGAAACTTGAGTTATCCCTCAAGAAGTAATTTTTCAGAAATTTGGTTTTATTAATTTAGAACTACCCAATCAAACTAACATTTTTAAAATAGCTTCTAAATAAAACAACTCAGAAAAGCCAGACTGGAGATAGCATCCCAATTCTTATGGTTCTCCAAGACAAGAAGAGTGGACCTTCTCTGAAGTATTTCACACCATTTCCTAGAGACAGTCATCCCTCTCTCCAACCTACCATGGGCAATTACATGCAACTTCTAAAAGCAAGCAGTTAAGCTTTACCAAGGAAATTATGATTGTCACAATGCAACAGAATATTAAGGCCAGTGAATAATAACTGAATAATTATAAATAACACAAGTATCTACTAAAGTCTGCTTTTCCAAATAGAACCAGAACAAAAGCACAACAATTCTGTAGTGTACCAAGTGTATATTTCAATTTACTGTAATGCAATCTAACAACAAATTTGGTCATAATTTACCAGATATACATAATGATTTAAGTAGTAAAAGAAGATTCAGTTCCAAGAGAATAAGTTCATACCTTGAGGAAAAAATCCCAACAAAACAAGAGGGAAAAAAAAAAAAGGAAAAATACATTAAGAAGGTAGAGCCAGGTCCAGTTTCTAAGCATTAAGTGAGCAGTAGTCTAATAAAGCAGATTTAGGTGAATTTCAGATATATATATATTTATATATATAGACAGATCTACCAGTTGTAAACTATGGTTTTTAAAGGGATAAATGGGATGGAAAAATCTTTATGCTATACTTACATATTCACAAAGCAGAACATTACTTTAACGTTTAAAATACTTTTTCATTCATATCATCTTTGCCCAACTAATTTCTACTTTGGACCCCACCAGAATTACACATTACTCATTTCAGTCTAGAACAATGAGAATAAAATGTAATCTTCAGTGTAAAAAAAAAGGTACCCCGCCCTCCCCACCCTCCCCAAAAAAACTATTCATGTCAGGTTTACAATGATGTGGAAACTACCAATGAAACAAGTGGATGATAAAAAAAGCATTTTAATTCCCATATAACTGTAGTTCAAACTTATCTCAGTTTCAATCAGCAAAAACAATGTCTTAATATTATGTTACTGTTCTATGGACAACAGTAAAGCTTATCTCTTTAAATACATACCAACTTTGATCAGATGGAGCACCAGTAAGATTTTGTCCATCAAAGCATAATTCAAAGTTATCCACACAACTACTTTTCAATTTCTTTACTTTTCAATTCCTTGTCTTATTACCATAATTTAGTTACCTGACATAAAATTGGAAAAAATATACTCAATTTTAAAATTAAACAAAGTTGAAAAAGATGGTGACCCTCAATTGTTTTTGTACAGTACTGTCACACTGGCCTAGCTATGTGTCATGACAAATGCTCTGCATATTTACTCACTGTGACATAATAATCAGACTTATTGTTTCAATGATTGCCTGAATTCACTTGCCTTAGGCTAGACAACACAGACGAGTTTAAGGTGAAGGTGTAATGCCCTCCCCTCCCTATGAAAGGGGCCTGAAATCATTGGTACAATATTATAAGCTTAGGAAAAATAACCCCAAAAAAACCAACAAAACTACGTGGCTACGAAAATTCAAGTTTCAATGCCTCCTAGAAAGTCTGAAACAAAGAGTATAGGGAGCACATCCTCCTGAAAAGTAGACAACTCAAAGAGCATTATTTTGCTTTGGACTTCTTGTTTTTCTTTAAAAAAATTCCAGCAAATTAGCAAGTTAAATGTAATTTGTTTATATTAAATACTAACAACAACTCATGAGTACAAAAGAATAAAAAATAGTTTGTGTTCAATGATGAACGATGGGCACAATAGCCTAGTGTCCAATTCACATCACATAAACTAGCCAAAAAACGGACAAGTAAGAAATTATTGACCAAAAAGTTGTTTTAATATGACACTTTCTCCATTCCTTGTATTTTTATTCTGTGGGACTGAGGTATACACCAGGGAAACCAAAAAATTTTGAGAGAAGGGGGGCCTTAAAAGAGGGAATAAACATTATTACATCAGATACCTTTTAGCATGACTGTCTCTTTTGACAAGTGGCACAAGAGCTACCCATGCTCTGATCAGTCTATTATTTTCATTACTGGTTATTTCATTTGTATTATCATTTTGAAACTGATGAATCAACAACAACCGTCTTTAAAAAACAGACACTAAATTAATGCCATTAACAGCTTCTCCAGTGCTTATCACCCATAGCACCTGCCAGCACAGAGCCAGAAGTTTTCAACCCAAATTTCAATACGGTGTTGGCAATATCCGTGACACATTTACATGATTGGCTTTCACCTATCAGATTACGGGAGAGGTAAGGTTTGTATGGCAAAGACATGCTTGTGGAAAATGAGCCACTAGCCCAAATTAGCTTCACTGACTCACTGACGAAAGAACAGTGCATTTGGGAAAGCTGTCTTTGTACTTCCATACCAAGTTGCAATTTTCTTCATTCATGTTAACAGATACATGAATGTGTAACATAATTACAGTTACTACTATGTCTGAATAGAACCCAAGTAGCTATAGCCTATAAATAATAAAAAATACATTTTTCTTTTGATAACTGACTGTAGATGTGAGGACTCTGTATAATTCAACCAAACGGTTGTATGCTGTACAGTCCTGTGCAAATATCATAAAAAAATTAATAATCCTTTTTTTTTTGCTATAAGGCTTTGACCCTACATTTTCACAGCAATTTAACTACCATCCAGCCTGTACCAGATTTCGCAAGCCTTCAGTCCAAAAATCCAAACAGTCAATCCATACAGTGTCCATTTGCAGCACCCTGAAGTCATATGCTCTGTCAGTCATCTAAAGGCATACAAACTTCCCCGCCTTCATCCCATCGAGACTGCTCATTCTGTTCTTCTACATCATCACCGAGCTCCTCATCGCCTTCTCCCACTTCATTTTCTTCGTATTCTTCATCCCTAGGGAAATCTGTGTCCTGCACCTGGTCTGCTCCCTCTTGCCCTCCAGGCTGAGATTTATCTGCACAGTCTACACAAACTCCGTAACGTCGTGATCCATGTCTTATTCCAACACTGGCTGCTAGCATGAAAATCTTCTTACACACCATACACTTATACTTTTTATCCTTTTTATGCACCTATGGAAGAGAAATTTTAACAGCTGAATATAGGCATATCAGGTTACATTTGCAAAGAGTGCTAGAAAACTATTAACAATAACAATAATAATAAAAATTCCTATTTTTAACTTTTCCAAAAGATACACCACACAGTTCAGAGTAAGAAAGGACTTCTGGAGATCTATTTATGTATTCCTCAATAGATATGAGCTACTTCCCACAAACAAAGCACCTCGTTGGAACTCAGCAGGGTGCCTGCTCTGACTCAACTGGTCAGTTCATGACTCCTCTGGGTACAAAACAAGGCTCAGAAGCAATGAGAGCAGCATAAACTCTTACACTGCACACAAGATAACTCACTTAGAAAAATTCTTTTTACAATTTTAAATTCTAGAAATATTAAGAACAAACAAGACTTACTAAGTTCAAGAATTCAAAGAGCAAAATTCTTCTTCCATGACCTCTCCCTCCCAACACAATTAAAACCAACATCAATTTTCCAGGTCCCTTAGATAATTTTTTTGTCCTGTATTTGAGTCCGTGTGTAAAATTAGAAGGCTTCTGCTGATTAACCATAAACTTTAATTTCTAATTTGGAAGTATGTTGCTTGTACAAGTTACTGAATTCAGCAACCATGTATATTAGTTATTATCTGTGAAAAAATTAAGTTGAAGACTTCTTTCTTCTATCTGGTGTTTCCACAACAGATTACAATTATGTGCTTAAATATCTCATTTGAAGTCCCATTGAAAAAGCTGTAATTTTAGATAAAAGAGAAATTACCACCCAGATGAGGGGAAAAAGAAATTAGGTCACGATACAAATAGTTCCTTCAACTCTGCTATAGAATCTGTACAGCTGATACATGTGCTTTCCTCAGCCTCTAGACTCCTTACAATACTTCACACAAGGCAGAACGTTTGAGGTTCATTGAACTGAAAGGGGAAGGGAGGGGGATGAAAAAAACCAGGAAAAGTGTTCTGACTTCATCAGGGAAAGGACTCTTCACTTAAAGCACAGAACTGCACTGAGCTCACTCCACAGCTGTTTTCACACTGTCTGACTTCATCTCCTTTCCTGTAGGAAAAAAAACCCCTTCAGCTACAAGTCCTGATCAGACACTGCAGGACAGAAAACTGAAGTTCCACTCTACTCTCCCTACTAGACCAACTCCCACTGTTTCTGTCTTCTCTGGTGAGCCACAAAGGAAGGAGCATGGCCATCAATGAGGCAATAATGCCTTAATTCTCTCAGCCTTTCTTCATGTGAGAGATGCTCCATCCCGCCAATCATTTTCATAGCCCTGCCTGGAGTAGTTCCAACAGTTCCATATCCTTCTTGTTTTGGGGACCCCAGAGCTGGATGCAGTGCTCTAGGTGGGGGTCTCATGAGTGGCAGAGTGCCCTTCCCCACAGTGCTTTTGATGCAGTCCAGGATCCATTTGGCTTTCTGGGATGAGCACATTGGCGGCTCATGTCTCGCCTCTCACCCACCAGCATCCCCAGTCCTTCCCAGCAGGGCTGCTCTCGCCTGGATAGACACAGAGTTGCTCCAACCCAAGTGCAGCACCTTGGAGAAATGCAATTTACCCCATTCCATGTACTAACCTTTTCCATCTAAAAAAAAATCTTACAAAATGAGGGGATTTTTAAAATCACAGCTTGGAGAAATGTTATTATTTTCTCACCACCAATATGATCTTGCTTTTGTTACTGCCCTAAAACACACCTTGGATTTTATATAGTATATACTATAATGAAGTCTTAATTTCCTTATAGACTAGATACAAAGTACCTACAAAATACCCAAGACAGATAATACTTTCTCTGGATCCTCAGATAAACAAGCACTCAAGTGAAATCCTGAGTTATGCAACATGCACAGGACAGGGTAAGCTGAACTGCTGGTTATGGTTCTGGCAGAATGCAAGTCAGGCAGACGTTTACTTTCTACATCCGGTATTTTTAATTCTTTCCTAATCTCAGAGCAGATACTATACTATAGCTTTGTCTAGCTGTGAAATAAACATCTCAGAACTACCCCAAGATATTGTGCAACTGCTGAATTAACAGGGTGCCCTCACAGAAAACGGTGATGCAGCATTATAGACCAAGATGTGCTGTTCTACTGCAGTAAAGCTAAACCAAAACTGCTTTTCCTTATCTATAGAATATTTATATACACTGCATCCTTTTATCACATCACTTTCAAAATAATCTTGAAACGACTGTCTTCACTGACACTGCATTTTCCATTAAGAAAACAAGAGGCAGTTATCCAAGAAATGTTTAACTTCATCCATTTCAGATGAAAATACAACAATTTACATTATGTCAAATCAGAGAACAGTTTGTTCCAACTACCAAAACACCTGAAAAACCCCATAAAACCCCACTTATACATGTGCATACATACACATGAACACTTGAGATTACCTACCAAGGAATGTCTCTTTACATGCTCTCTTCGTGTAAACAGCTTCCCACAGATGTCACAACTGAAAGATCTCACGCCTGTGTGAATGAGCAAGTGTCTCTTTAGTGTTCTTCTGTATTTGGCTACATAATTACAGTGTGGACACTTCAGCTTGTTCATGATTAAAGCAGAGGAATCACCTACAAGACAAGAAGCCATCAGGAGAAAAGATGATGAAACACACAAAAAATATTTACATATGTTCTGCCTGGTGCACAAAAATAAACAGGTGACAAAACAAAGCAAAACACGTGACTTTTCATCAGCCAAATCAGGACAATGTCAGTCTGCAGAAATCACAAATGCTGCTAAGTTCTGCATGTACAATTCTACTACCTACTTGTAACCAAAGCATTTCTACCACAGAAATTTTATTTCACGAATTGAAGTAAGTAAGCTACAATTTAACAATGTTCCATTTTCCTAGACATCAGTTATACCAGAAAACACTTTCTTCTGGATTGGAAACCCTCTAACTCTGCAACATTTAGACAGTCAGTCTTTTCTCCCAATAGTCTACTTAAAATTACATGCAGGAACTGTCTACCAAGATCTGACTTGACAAATCAATAAAAAGAAAGTATAACTATGTAAGAATGAATATTGACAGAAGGAGTAGGACACTAAGAGACAGTCAAATCCTGAAATTCTCAAAAATGAAGTTATTGGTTTAGATTTTACCTATTTTCAACTCTGATCTAACAGCAGTAAAAATAAAAATAGCAGAAAACACTTCTGGAAGCAGCAATATCTCACTTTTTCCTTATGATGGAGAGCTCATTATATAGTTTGCTCAAAGGATATATGCAAAACAGGTTTAATACAGCTGCGCCCATTACTACGTGAAAAAGAACAACACAGGATTCTACGATGTAGACAAGGCCACACAGGAATACAAGGATGACTTTGATAATAGCATACTGACTCAATTTACTACAGGTGAGAATTTATGAACATAATCATAACTATCTAGAAGCATCCATAAAGCACTGGCTAAGGCTACACGATTATGTGCAAGAGTTTCTAATGTTCAGGCTGGCAGGAAGAAAACATAAGTAATTTTGCATTATGTACACATGCTCGCAGGCATGTATTTAGAGTTGCCTCCTTTGAGCTTCCAAATCCATCATAACATGGAAGTTACATTTTGCTAATATTCACAAGTTTGCATATTGGAGCACTCCTGTGAGCTACATGTCAACATAGTATCACATAATGGCTTACATGCAGAAAACTAAGTCTTACACAGGCAGATATCAGGGCTGTAAGATATATGGGAATTTAATGGTTTAAGAACAGGCAGACCTCCTGAGACACAGCTTCTAATTTCCTGACTGCTAGCGAATTTCATTTTCTGATGACCAAATTTCTTTTATTGCAAACTCCAGAATATTTAAAAGAAATCATAAGCTACATCCCAGTAACAGCTCAAAGTTAAAGAGAATAGGTAAGCATTACTATTACCCAGTACTTGATATCTTTTTTACTGAAGACTTTATGTATTGTAGAAGCAACTGTTTTAGACATGGTGTGTTTTCAGTATGTTTTCAGACAGAAAAATAACTACAGATAATTGCTTGCTTGAACTGACAGAAGAAGGCTTAATTACAGCTGCACTGAACTAAAAACATTTATTGAAATGAAGTTTTTTATTTTTAATAGCAAGACATATGCTGAATCTCCTTTTAAAATTATACTTAATTCCATATCTTCACCACTCAAGTTTTCAATTTCAAAGGCCATTTATCTGTATTTAGCTTAGAAAGGGGAGGGGCAGCTATCAGGTTATTAAAGACCTCAGGCACTTTCACAATCAGTCACAATATAAGAACTGATATAAATCACATTCTGTTTTTACTCTTCCACACATTTGAATTCCTTTTCCTCCCTCCAAGGAAGTACATTATCCAGAAAGACAAATGATATGGAAGAATATGAAGTAATCTCATAACTCTTCAAATGAATTATCAAATATTACAAGCAGTGACACAAAAGATAGAGAGCCCCTATCAGAGGAAAAAAATCCAACTACTCTCCATCAGATACACTTACCATTTTCCCAAGCTTCTTTCGGCCAAGATTCTGGCAGCAAACCATACTTAAAATCACTTGAAGTACCCGGTAGCAGCCCATACTTGAAGTCACTTGAAGTACCCGGCAGCAATCCGTACTTGAAGTCATTTGAAGTACCCGGCAACAGTCCATACTTGAAGTCACTTGAAGTAGCTATTAAAGACACATTCTTACTTTAGCTTCCTGGGTTCTAATCAGTCATCAATCTAATCTGTTTATTAAAATATATATCCTTTTTAAACTGTGACAAAAAAGTTTTTAACCTTAAAACAGTAATTATAGCACGTTTTCATATAATATTCAATACTCAAACAAGAAATAACTGTGCTCCTAACTTCAATGAAATGAGACCATTGAACTACACTCCACAGCACCATAACTTCTCCCCAGCCTGAGAAAAATTCAAAGCCTTTTTCATACTACAGGGACTTTGATGGTAAGGATATGTATTCCTCACTATCAGCATGAGGGGGCTCAAAGGTTTTCCATTGGATTCTCTTTAGAAACTGCTTCATGCAGTGACTTCACCTGGACTGCCACAGGCAGTCTAGCTGGTACAAAAGTGAGTATTTTCTACTAGAGGCATTAAGTGTTTTTATTGCCTTAAAATATCTCCATGGTATATATATAGTGCTTTAAATACCTTCATTTATATAAAGGATCCTACAGCTATGTCTAAATCCTTTTCTGAATAATCATCTCCATTACTCCATAATCACATCAATTCAAGAGACCATAATTACTTGGAATATAACAGTTTAAAAGACTAGTTTGCATATTTACATTTGCTCTTAAGACATGATCATTTGCAGTTTATGTTGTCTCCGTATCCTTTTTTCCTCTTTAAAAAAAATAAAGCCATTCAGATGTGAACAATGCCTTAAGATCTTTGCTTGTTTCATTCCATACTTTATAACAAGGAAGAACTGCATCAGTGAGCATGGAGTCACTGTTTCAGAGCACAGAGAAGAGAACTATAAATAGTACACAATAAAGCTGCACTAAGAATTTTACAAAATCATATTTGTTGGGCAAAAGCTCTTCTGGCAATAGTGCAAATCAATGTTCACCCCAATTCCCAAGACAGGAGTTTGCTGGAAAACATGAACTCATAAATCCCTTACTTTGCTCACAGGCAAACAGTTGTAAAATAAACAAACTGCAGTGGTAACTGGCAGATTTCCTTTTATTTCTCTAGATGGTAGTTGGGTCCTCACACTGGATTCCCAATGTCACCACTGTGAAAAGTCTTGAGGAAATGCATTCTTGCTTTCAAGCCTGAAACTACACATTTTAATAGTCCAAAGATCTCTTTTTATCCCTATACTGTTCATTCTAAGGATTTTTTTGGGAAAGGAAATTCTCTTAGGCTAAACCAGAATTTCATGCAGCTAGTGGCAAGCTGCATATATAAATACTTCCAACTTGCAGTTTTACTGGAAAAAAGTACGTATTACAAATCCTCACAGCATGAGACACATACAGTAGTTTTATTTACTGTTCAGGCAGCATTACCATTGGCAGCAATTATTTGGTTTGCAACATAAGACAACAGTTCAAAAGGATATCACGTAACGAGTAGGAAGCTTATAATTCTATCATATCCATCAGACAAGGCTGGGTCAAGACTGCCAAACTAGGCATTCCACTAGAGCAGAGTTTGAGTGAATGAAGAAGAGAAATAGCAGTATTTTAGCTCACCTAACTACCTATTTTTCTATAAAAGAAGCGGGAAGGGAATAAATCTCCCTCAAGAAACACAAAGCAGTGAGGACATTTTTTTCAATTACTGACTCTAATTTTAATTACTAACATAATTTCTGTTATGTCCAAAACAGGCAAGAATTCCTTATACTAATTTGGAGTGATGGACTCCAGCAATGGCATCTCAACAGCTCAAGGAATAGAACACAGATACCCTATAGACAAGCCAACTACACATTCCTTTGAGGTGAGGAGTAAAACCTCCTTCTGTAATACACAAGAAAGGATTAGTGAGGAAGCAGTGTTGTACAGTCTGGGTAAGAGCAAAAATAACTTGATTTTAAGGATAAAAGCCTCCAAATTACAGCAGGCTTCAGGATCCAGCAGAGGAAAAGAAAACCCACCTACTTTTATAATGTTTAAAGTATTAGATCCTTTCTTTATAGATTTTTCTTCCTATACTAGAATTGTAGCTGAACAGTTAAAGGCCAGTCCATAATAAAATATTTCAATCACTTTTCCCTCCCTTATAGGATGAGTATCTGTAAGATCAAACAGCCTCAAGTCTTTACTGCACACAGAAGTAACGTTATGCTGCATACAGGCACTATTGTGACCATAGGTCAGAGCTGGACCAAGCTGAACACATTTTATAACACTGCCACTTTGACAACTCTTCTGTATTCAAGAGGGCACAAACTACACTTCACTAGGAACATTTATGTACACAGCTGGCATTTAAGTTTGAGGGAACTTAGGAGCTCAAGCCCCTACATAGTTTGAGACCTTAGCACAGGATTCAGCATAGAGTCAAATAGACTTAAGAGCTGCCATGTAGCGTAGATAATAGCTACTAAATCTTTCAACCTCCAACTGGAAGAGAAGACCCACTGTAACATGAAAGAACACCAGCACAGATACCACAAGAGATAAGAGGTTGCTACACATGCTTCAGTCCCTGTATACATGACTAAGTAGATAATAATTAACCTAATGCTTATTCTTAGAATAATTCGTTGACCCAGAAAATCTGCTTTCTAGATTAAGCACACACTTTATGTGTTCAAAACAAAACCATGAAAAAGGCATCCTTAGTGTCTAATTGCACATCCAAACAGGATAGACTTGAATTACACACAGACTGGAAGCTGGAAGTGCAATACCTAGCCTCTGCTACCTTCCTCAGCTGGATATAGAGCCCACAGTCCAGTAAGTTTCCAGGACACAACATATTTACAGATCCGTGTGGCTCATAATATCTTCTCCTATTTCTCCTCTCACCCAGGCTACTGCCCTGTGAAACCTGCTTGCAAAACTAGACAATCATCATCTGACCTGCTCTGGTCAACTTAAAGCCCAATGATAGTCTCTTGATAGGAGGCTGAAAGCAACTATGGATGCAGTCATACTGGTAGACTGGGGATGGGGTGCAAAGGGGGAAAGTACAGAGAGGTAAGGCAGATCTTTAGGGGAAAAAAAACCAAAAAACTCAACTAATTAGAAGTAATAATATCCTGACCACAACTTGTCTCTGATCGAAGGTTACCTTTTTACACTTTAGTTGATTTCTAAGAAGTGTAAGTTAATAATCCAAATGTCAATTAACCTCAAACATTTACCCATTCTTCTAGCCTGCATGGATAAAAGGCTATCGATAATCTGATCTGATAATCTGACAAGCAAAACCAAAATTATAAGAGATAAAACAGAACACAAAGAAGCTGATTAACCATCAGCACTAAAATTCACACTATGTTTATTTGAGAAAAGGACAGTGTGAAATAAAATGAAGTGGTTGTGTAGCTTTTACACAACTAACAAAAGCAATCAAAAACACTGTGAAAGGATTTTATGTTCTACTGCATTTGTTCTCAGGACAAAGGATAACCAGAAGACAAGATACAATGATTTTCAGTTTTGAAGGCAAGAGGTAGGCATGCACCACCAGAAAGAGAAAATATGTCTAAGCCAGAAACATCCTTAGTTTGACAAATTTCACTCTTCTGCAACTAGAAATATGCTGATTTGGGGGGCAGAAAAGGATACTTTACTGAGTAGGAATGATATGGGAAATAAGGAGAAGTTCACTGACAGACGTCATTGACCAGGTCATTATAGAAAAGGACACACACCGGGGGCACTGAGCGGAAAGACACAAAATTTTGCATTAGATACAGTTGTTTGTAGTGAACTTAACTTCTCTTTTCTTTATATATACTGGCACTGGCAACACTGCAAAAATAAGAGAAAAAAACACTAATTTTCACTACATTTTTTGACACTGACTGCTCATCTAGATCAATTAAAAAAGACAAAGTAGACAGGATAAGTGATTAGGCAATAGCTTTCAAGAATTGCAAAGAAAGCAGTGGTAATCTATTGATACAATCTGGATTGCTTTTAGAGAGCTGGATTTGTTGCTAACGTTAGGTAACATGACAGAGGAAACAGCACTGCCAAGACTGACATAGTAGGAAGGTGGGGGAAAGAATTTGTACTCCCTTTGTTTCCAGAGTATTCCTCACATCTTTAACCTTGCTCCTTCTGAAAAGGCTTCTTCTGCTCACTACTGCTCAACTGCCTCTTGCAACAGAGGACTCAGACATACTTATGACATTTTGCCAATGCAAACTTACTCATACTCTATTGCTCCCAATTGTTCTCAATTTTTACTATTTTTTATTAATGAAAAAGTAGTATATTGCCGTGACTATGGAGGCAGATCTACCACCAACTACCCCAACAGAAGACCACTAAATGATGCCAAATATATTATCCACTTGCTTTTCAACTTATCATACCTTTCCTGAAAAATTCCTTTCCAAGAAAGTGAAAGCTGTTTTGCTTATTTCCTCCAACAACTATACCAGTTAAATACAAGAAAGTAAAGAACTTTCCTCATGCAGACCATTTATTTGTGGGGGAGTTAATTGTCCTCATGGACCATTTTTATTTATGGAGTTGCTATCATCATCATCATCACTATTTCACAAATGAAAAACATCAGCACTTCAGGTTGGTATTTTTTAACAAGTCAATGCATTGCACTGGGACTCAAAGGGATTTTTGGGCAGAGAAGATCTGTAGACCCCACAAAACCACCTTCTCCAGCACATTAAAAAAAATAAAAAAGGCAAATTGACGATAGCAATACACAAAACATTGTGTACATTGCCTGGAGTTGTAGGTACAGTGACAGACCATACCATAAGAATGTGAGGAAATGATCTGCTTGTCTTTGAGATGATCCCTGGGAGAGGTAAATTTAATGAATGGAGAAAAGGCTGACCCTCAGATATTGCAGTGTTTTCAGATGACTTTTAAAAGCTTTTGACACCTTCAATACTGGATTACATAGGGAATGGGGCAAATAAAGTGGTTAAAGGTCCACTAAGGAACTTAAATCTTTTAATCAGGGTATCAGCTTGAGGTTTAAAGAAAATCTGACTGAAAGTTATAGTACCGTGGAAAAGTAGGAAAAATACACTTTTCTTTTGTAACAGTCAGCCAAGTGGGGTTTATCCCCACAAGAAATATACACATGTCCTGGTAAGTCCATCAATCTTTATTTCTTCATATACAAAGATACCTGTCTTTATTGTAATCAAGCTGTGTTACGCTCCTCCCTTGCATCATGACAAATGCTGGGACCATCACTACATTTTTTGTAAGCAGGTCTAACTGCTGTTTGTATCCTTCTGAAAAGCAGTTGTTTCTACAGCAAGCTGAATTAAATTCCTTAAGAACCCTCACAAAATCAGTCAGAAAACTTCCTGTTCCACCTGTTCCTGTTTTAATCCTGTACTTGTTATCTTTTCCCTCACTCCCACCAGAGTACAGCATTATCTAGCCTGAAAATCACAGTAACAAATTATACACTTGTAGCTTCATAAAGCTACTGGGATATTGCATGCAAGTCTCCTAAAAATCAGCACTGTCAATTCTAGAAAGCATAAGCAATACTTCACAGCTGTGTTCTGAAGTCTGAGGATAGGACACTTGTACCAAAAAAAACCAACCAAACAAAAACAGGTCCAGATGAAAGACATACCTAAGAAGTGATGAAAATTGACAAAATCACCCCATGAACAGACATTAAGAATATGATTAATTATGCTCACTGAGCTTTCATAAACTTTTGTAACACTCTGTAACACTGTGATATGCTGACTGTCTGCATGGTTATTTTCACCATGGTAAATGGTTAATTGTAGGATGAATGATAGCTGTAAACAGTAAAAGATTTTTTTAGCATATTATCAACTAGGAGCAAAAATACTGAGATATGTGGTAACATTCATTGTTTTAGTTAAGCAGCTACTTTAATTAATATAGCTAAAACTGGAGAAAGCTTGAAAAGTTAAGTAAAACATAAGTAAATGTAAGACAGTACAAGGAATTTCAAACCCATCCTAACTTTTTTAAAGCTTTTTTGAAGTTCAGCCGTGTGCTACTTTTACAGGGAAGGTGTTAAACATAAACTCACTGGCAACACAGGGTGAGAGGAAGAAGCAGCTGACATATCCTTATTGCATACATGTAGAAAAACTCATGTTCAGCAAGGAGCAGTTTAACATATTTGCTTTACTGGAACAAGAGGGATAGCAGATGCTCCAGAAAGCTTTTACTGTTTATTATCTAATACTTACCAACTGTACGCAACTGGAAAAACTAATTTACTACAGAATTCAAGGAAGTGGCTTCAAGGATAAATTTTTGTAGTGAGAGGAGTGATCTTAAATAGGCTTCCTTCCACCATATCTACAGTATATATTTCCCATCACAAAAGCACCAGACCAACCCAAACCTAAATCAAGGGCGCAGAAAGTCACTCTGCATGTAACTGACAGTTCATAACCATTGGTGTTATCCCCATCAGAATATGACAAAGCCTAATACTAGAAGCTCGTTTTTTCTCTTTTAGCAACAAATGGGAGAGCACACTCCTTAGCTATGAACATAAGAATTTACTATTCTTTATTTTTCTTCTTATAGAATTGTCTTATATCTGTCCCAGATGACATTTTCTTATGCATTTTTGCCTCTCAGTACCTATTATTTTTGGTAGTTTTTCATGCCCACAAGAAATTTAATCCAAAACTAAAAAGTTACTGTATAACCTGCGGGTTACTCTACAACTCATTCTTGACATTCTTCCAACTCTCCACTCCTCCCTCTTCCACCTTTTCTTTGGCATTGAGGGAGCAGATAAAAGAACAGAATCTACCTGCAAAGCAAAGAAAGAGAGCCAGGCACAAGTAGAAGAGAAAGAGTACTAAAAGCTGAAAGAAGAGACTATGGGTGAAACGTAAGCTATACCAAGCCCTACTTCAGTCACTCTTCTTGTTCCAAACAATATGCATTCAATAACTTAGTAAAAGTGAAGGTATTACTACAAAAATATTAGATATGGCTTCCAAAAGAATTCTGACACTAACAGAAAATGTAATCATGTACTTGGAAACATATATGCTGTATTCTGAAAATACCAAGGAGATCATTAGTTGACTAGTATTTTACAGCTCAGTAAAATAAACTTCCCCCTGCAGTCACAGACCTTTCAATGATTTTGGACAGACACCACAACACATACTCAGTATGCTGTCTCCAATACAGTTCTTTTCATCAAAATGCTATATGGATGCATCTTGTAATTTAATTCCTTAGCATAGCAAGTTACTGGAAACACCGGTGCTTCTGTCAAAAAACACAATTAACATGGACTAAATATACTGCACTGCCCATGTCCTCCATTATTTCTCCAAGAAATATTCACAGCACACATACAAAATTCCACAGAATCCAAACAACTATTTAGATCTACTGTTGGTAGCATCATGCAGTAGACATTCTCTGTATTTCCATCAGTAAAAGACATATAAATCATCAACAGAAAGCACATGCTAAATTGGCTGGAATTTGGTATTTGTGCAGCAAATACAGACATCCTCAGCTCTTGCTCCAGACCCTCTGTTGTCCTTTTTCAGGGTACTGCAACTAGAGCAAGTACTGTAGCCCAGCACAGGCAGCATTGTTATGTGGGTGCTGAGAACTCAACATCCCCACTATCTGCAGCTAAAAGTGCTTCAGTTAGGCTAGAACTAACCTGCTGCTGTGGACCTGAGGCCTATTAGCAACTGTCACGTTCCTGAAACACAGCTTCTATCCTCAGCTCAGCCAGAAGGAATCCTGTGCAGTCTAACAAAGCTTAGCCAGTAAGAGAAGTACAGGAAATTCACAAGCACACACTCCCAAGTAAAGCTAAAGCAGAGCTTTACCCAGAGATGGAGACCAGAGATAAGTAACGCCCCCGAAGCATTTGCAGAAGTGCTCCTCAGCACAGCTGCTTCTCCAGAGCTGCTCTGTTGTGTCACACTACTCACTAAGCACATGAAGGTCTCTTGTGCTGGAGAAACATATCCCCAGCCCACATTACCCTGCACTGGCACGGCAGTGCCCAGGCGCTGCTGGCACTGCACAGCACGGCCGTGGGTCCCCACGTGCCCCCTGTGGCAACACTGCTCCCCTGATCCCCCAGCCCCACGGGCAGGAGCAGAGCAGGGCTCCTGGAAGAGACACGACATACACAGTTCCTTCATGTTTGAAGCAGGCACGTATTCTAAACTGCTTTAGAAACAAGACAAATTTAAATAACCTTGTTCCAGCTGTGTCTCAAATCCACCCCTAACTTGGCTCCTGAATTGCAGTAAGTTTTCAGAACTATTGATTCATCAGAAAGTGAGGCAAGTAAATGACAGTACTTCAAATGCATACATTAACCACTCATACAGCATAATAATTTTAAAAATAAAATCCAAAAGTTATGAAGTCAGGCACTTCAGTCAAGACTTTAATTTTCAAATGACACAATTGACATAAAGCAATATTTACCTGCTTCTTCTTTAATAAACGACAAATCTTCTTCTGGATATGGGACTGATGGTTGCAACACTGAGCAATCTTCAGAGTTCTCTTCAGTATTAGGTGGTATATTATAAATAAATCTCTTTGCAGTTTGGTTTTTCCTTCTTGCTTTTCCAGGTTCTTGAACTGATTGTCCCTGTGCACCCATGTCATTCCACACGAAAACTTTTCCCTCACCTTGAGATTCATTTTCAGCCATTTCAGGTGAGCTGTCCTGGACCCAACTGCAGTCATTCATTTGGTAGCTTTCCATTTGGCCCTCGTCAATAGGGTAGGGATCATTCTCAGTTTTTATGCTACTTGCCAAGTTGGTAAGGTTTCGTGTTGCCCAGAAGCTGGCAACTTTTTGATCCCTTGGAGATAAACCATCCCTACTAACAGATCTTCTGTTGTAATCCACTACAACAGTCTCTGGAGCTTCTGATTTTATACTTATGTTTAAGGCATCTTTAATGAAGTTGCGGCAGGACTGGACAACCTCCGTCATCTGAAGGTAGCTGGCCACCGACATCACTTCAATGGCATTTTGGCTCGTAAGCACGAGGTTACCAGAATATAAGAAGTCCAAGATGACAGAAAAACCTTGAACAGCAACAACGTCTAAATAGGTAACAGTGGTTTGGTTACGGCTTTCTTTGTTTGTAAAGCAATAGAGAGTCTTAAAGAAGCGGCTGCCTGCAACCAGGATGTTCTTGTGAGCTCTGAAGACCCTCCCACTCACCACAATATTAACATCACACAGAATGCCTTTCTTCCTCTGCTCGTTGAGCTCTTGCAGGAGCTGATAGCAGTAAGAGTTCTCATTTGGCCTGCTGTTAAAATCACAGTATCCTTCATTATTCAGTTCTGATGGTAACTCTGCCTCCTGCAATTAAAAAAACCGCACAAACAATTAGCTCTTAATAAAAGCTCACCTTAGTCCTTCAGCACTCTAATAAGGATATGAAAATAAATTAAAGAAGATAAATAACAAAAGAATAGTTTGATTAAAATGATGGTTTTGGTCACAAAGGTAGACATTAACAAGACATTTCTGAAAACTAAAAATCATGCTCTCATTCTGCACTTCCCACCCCCAAGTTTGAAACAAACAGAACTAGTAATTTGCCTTGAAGGCAAAGGAAGGGAATTTTCAGCCAAAACTATGAAAATATATAGTTGAGTGTGAAGTACTTGTTATTCCTAACCCACATATATTAAAAATCCAGGAGCCTCTCTTTCCAAATATTTAACTAGATGATTCTTACATATCCAATCCCTTGCTCTTCCCCAGAAATCTCTACTTAAACAATTAGCACAATCCTGATAAATGATTCAACATTTTCTTCATGCTGAGATATGAATACATAGATTAGGTCTGTGTGTCACATTCTGTCTTGAATGTTTTAAAGAAAACATTGCTAAAATAGATATAACAGCAAATATATTTCTTACACATATTTACAAATTAATAATTTATCCTTTGCTTTTTAACTGCAGCAAGTTTAGGATTAAACAGTATATCACATGACAAGCACACAAAATACTGCAGATGACAAAAAACCCCCAACTTAAGCTTCCATTACAATACTTAACTTAGACTTCCTTGAAATAAGCCTCCCAAACTTTCCAGTGGCAACACTGGCACAATACTTATTATACACACACAACCTTTTTAAGATGTTATCTCAAACACTGCTTCAAAATTTTGCTAAAACCTTATATTTTCAGACAATCTAGCACCAAAACATAATTCGTTATTAAAGATTAATTCAGACAGGGAGAGGTCAAGAGATCTGAACTGGATTTTAGTGCACAGACTTCTTACTCATTTTTAGATAAAGATGATTCAGAGATGCTACAAAGCAGTAGCTAGGAGAAAGCAAAAAACAGACTGGCATATTTGAGACCATACTTACATGGGTTGACATATGCTGCCAACAGGAGCAGCAACAATGACAGTCTGTTTCATACTAGATCTCCAAAATTCTCTCTTAATTCTTAGCAAACAGGGAAAATTCAAAACTGGATAGCTCCAATCCAAATCATTATTTTCTTCTCTCACATCTTAAAACACCTCACTGATTAGGAAGCTAGAGGTGGTGTTAAAGCCTCAACATTACAGGTCAAAATCAGTATTAAGAAGGTAACGTTAGCACTGTCATGAGCCCATAAACTATGCCGGGGCTAAAATATACATTGCAGGAAAGTACTACTCTTAATTTGGACTATGGCAGAAACCAGCCATATATATTTAAAAAGTTCATTTCCACCCCACAGGCATGAGTGGATTGAATCAGTACTCATCTCAATTTATAATCCCAGTGTGGATCACTGGAATGACAACAGAGGCTGTAACTACATCTAAAATTGCATATACATCTATAAGCAGCAAATAATGCCCAGGAAAACCAAAACACAAGCTGTGCCATTTCAGCATCTCCCGCAGAGAAACTTCAGTTTGCTGTCACATTCAAGTTGCTTCTGAATCTCTACTCTTCTCAGAGAAACACTTCATTGAAGAGGAAGAAATAAAAGCAATTATGCTTTTATGTGAAAACAAGGAATGTATCTTTGCCTAACCTCATCTTCATTTTTAATGTGTACTTTCTGACACACCCCAAGTACTCCCCCAGATCAAGGCTGTGAAACAGTTTGCTCCAGATGTGGGACAGCTAAGGCTGTCACTCTAAGTTCTCAACAGATTTTGGTTCTGGACTAGTTTCCTGTCACTTCAGCAACAGAGCACTGCATAGTTTCAAAACACCAATTACACTGACGCTGGATCAGATTAAGATGAAAATTATGGTACCCGAAAGTGTTGTCACACTCGTCAATCATCAGTGACTTGCACCTCACAGAGTAAATGTTAGGTAGATGCTATGATAGCTGCCAATTTCATTCTCTGAGAACACATTAAACACTGCATAAAATTTAAAAAAAACCAACAACCTGCAGCAGTTCTTTTCTTCTGACAAATGTCTGATTAAATAATGGAGATATAATTGCACAGTTAAAATGTAATCTAAGTACCCAATCAAGCTGGGACAAAAAATAAATTGATATTTACAATGTGGGGTTTTTGTTTCCTGAGAACAGGACAAGCCAGCATGGTGAGGAGGAGCTGCAGATCACAAATGTGCTACAGAAAAACAAGACTGAAATCTTCATTGTGACCAGACCAGATGGTTGAGTGGAAAAATGAGGTATTATGCAACCTGTGTCCAAGCTATAAGGGTGTGTGCTGGAGAAAGAGATCAATCGGTATTACAGCTTTAATTAGTATTATAGCTTTACAGAAGTGGGCACATAAACATTTCTAAAACTAACTAGAGTACTAAAACCAACTGTTTCACTGCTTGTATGGTACAACAGTTACCCTAGTGCCACAACTCAAATGAAGTCCTGACATCTGAACAGTTAAAGTCTATGTACACCAAGTATGACAAGTAGAACCGACATTTATTATGAGAAAAATTAATAAAATAATATTACTTTGAGAGATTCAGACATGGATACAGAAAAAATACAATACAGCTCAACAGGAGGCAAGGAGTTGAAAATAATTATACGGAAAAGTATATTTCCAAACTTCTGTTACTTACATGACACATTGTCATAAGGGTTCTGCTTTTTCAATGAGAACTAATGGTATTTGCTTAGATGTCAATTATATTTTCAGAATACAGACCCCATATTCTCATCAACTAAGTTACCTCAACACCAAACCACCTCATCCTTTAATAAAGACTAGTAAGGAATAAAAGATAAAAATCAGCACAATTTCATTTAAAATTGTGGAATCTTCAGTGTTCTAAGTCAGAAACTTCTCTCAGTGGGTGAGATTAAGAAGTGCTGCAAAAGAACAGAGACTGTTTAAGGAAATCAATACTGTGCTCAGTTTCAAACACACTTTTCTGAGTATACACAAAGATAAATTACTATTTTATATGCATCATTCATTAATAAAACTTGCCCAAAAGCTAACAGGAGCAGAAACAAATGATCAGAAAACTAAACTTCTAGTAGCAGTTTTTTTTCTCCTACTGCTCCATCAGCATACTCTGTCCCTCGGAGGAAGAGCAGTGAGAGCAGGAAGAATTACGAAAAAACCCAAACCAATCTAACCACAGATTCCATCTCAGCTACATGTATACGAAAAGTAGTTATGCCACATTTTTTAATCCCTTGCCCACTACCACATCTTGCTCTACAGCAGTTCCCTGTGCCCCCAAATTAATTCTTACTCTGGTAAATGGATCTTCTAAAAATGTAAGCTATCAGTAGCTTCCTAACTATGTGCAGCTACAGAGGAAAATGATTGCAAAATATGGTCTCAGCTGCACACGATGCCCCACTGTTATTTTACACACACAGCATTGCTCACAGACAACTCAGCAATTTCAAATTATGTCATTAATTGCCTAATAGCAAACTGAGTAGTTTTGAAGTGTGATAAAAACAACTACATGAAAATACACTAAGTGGTAGTTTTTACTCTGAGGCCTGACTTCCTTCTCAACTTCTTTGCTCTGCTAAGAGTAAGTCAAGAAGTTAACTTAGAACACTGTAATGTAACTCTAACATCTGAAGCATGACTTCCATTCATCACTGCTCACATAATGCAAACAATTCCAATTCACATGGAAAAAATAACACATCAAAGGCCTTCCTCCTTTTGGAGAGCTTCTGCTTTAAACCAACATGCCTGTTAGACTGGAGAAAGCTTTTCTGGCAGTATTTCCAAAGCTTAGCTTTAAATTATGTCCAGAAAGAAGATGGTTCGAGGGGAGGAACCCCTAGCAGCCAATAAATCTGCATCTTATGGCCCCAAATTCATCAAAGAATTAAAATATTTTGCCATGATTTCCCAGTAAGCATCCATTTCTTAGAATTCTTGCAACACAATAGTCTGTTCAGTATAAAAAAAAATAACAAAGGTAGTTTCAAGATGAAGATGGAGTTCCTTAAGCTTTAATGTAGAGAAAAACTATTTTAAAAATTAGAATATTTAAAATATTATTCTTTTTAATCTTTTAAAAAGATCCAAGAATTTGGTCTTAGAAAGAAGCATTGGCTGACAGCTCAATACCCTTGAATTATAGCAGCTGCAACCACTTGTGATGTATTTTGGCATTCCAAATTAAATGTATCCCAAAAATAAACTGAAATCATCACTAATTTCTTCAGGAGCATAATATCCAACAGACCTATAGAAATTTCCACTACTTTACTGTCTTAACACCTACAATTTCCTTTCTGTGCTTGAGTGGTGGCACTATGCCATATGTTTATTAGCAGCTGCTAAACATGCCCTGCAGTTGAGGCTTGTCAAGTCCATAATACATGTGTGCTGTCTCTAACACAAAGGCTGAAAGATCTCTCCCAAGTTTCATTAAATCTAAATGGCTTTGCTGCCTCATTATGTACGTTGGAAATACGGTCAGGGTACAAATTACCTACTTTTGTTCCAAGTATCTGGTATCACGCATTTAGAAAAAAATGAGGCTATTGTTTTGGTATTAATTTAAACATATGTATCAAAAGAAATTCAAGTGCCATTAAGAGTATGAAAGGATACGGAAATTAAACATAGAAGGGAAAGAAAACAGAGATTCTTAATCAGGTTTTTGATAAAGCAACTGTAATGTGAAAGTGTGCCACAAAAAAAACCTACACTGACTCTTGAAAAACTGCAATTCCTTCCCTCATGAGAAGTTTTTAACCGAAATGTAATTGCAGAAGGATGCACAAAGCACGGTTTTCCACTTAAAAAAAAAAAAATCAATCTTTACAGCTACCTTTGTCCCATCCTTATCTTTAGTACAGTGCAGAAGAACCACTGACTCATCTATCCTACTGTTTCATTTATTATCACAGTTACTAGAAATATTTTTCTTAAACTATCAGTGATACAAAAGCACTCATTTTTACAAATATTCCCATGACAATGAAAGGCCTTCAAATAAACACTTACAATCTTCAAATACGTACTTAGATTAACTTGTAGGCTACTGTGACAACAAGCCAATATTCTGTCCTCCCTTCCATCCTCCCAATATTTAAGTTTTACAACAGATTCGGGGTAAGAGGACAGAATGAAAAGAAGTTAACTGAGTAGGGAAAAAAATGCTTGGAATAGCTTTTATTTAAATACAGCTAAAACAGAGTGAGAGAAGCTTCCAAGTGTGGCAGGAATTAGCAGCATCCACTAACACAGGAGGCTACACAGTGACAGAACATACTTCTACAGAGTAATCATTCACAACTCAAAGTTAGAAACTAGGCAACAAGATGGCAAGGAACATACTGCAATAGCATTATGCAAAACGGGAACATTTTCAAAGATATGAAGAAGTAAAAGAAACTAAGAATGAAAGTTTCTTAATTAGAAACAACTAATTGAAAGCAAGTTTGGCTAAAACACTGCAGAGTGAATAGCAAACCCCAGAAGACTGAAGGGAACCGCTAAGATGACCTACTACCACCAAGTATCTGTAACAGTAGCTGCCATAGAACCAGACTCACTGAAAAGGTCGTATTAATCATCTTGAATCCAAAATCAGTATTTTGGATAATCGGTATTTGTGCACCATAAGGTTTCCCTTACAGTCCTGCAATAGCATCACATAAAACTTGCATACATTTTCTAAGTAGTTCTAAGAAAACTATCGTTCATCTAACGTTTTATAAATCATCCTGTAATCTTGATATCCTGCCCTAACATTTGACTAGCAGCTCTTGTCCAAGGTACCCCGAGCTCAAGCAATAACCTCAATCTAACTACTGCATTATATTTCAGACTGCAAATAAAGCTACCCAACCAAGATAGGTGTTTTAATTAAAACTGAATTCTAAATGCAGGAAAACGGAGTGACTAATCAATTAATTCCGGATAACAGCCTAACAATTCAAGGACTAGCCCAACCTGAAGCAACACTAGCCAATGCCTGCAGGCAAGTTTAACGCCAGCGAAGCAATCGAGTGAACTTCAGCAGCGCAGGCATCCCTAGGAAAAAAGGCTGCAGAAGGCTGCTGATTCAACAAAAATATTCTTTAGGGGCTTTTCATCCACATATGTTCTAGGACAAACCCTGCCTCATTCGCGAAAGCAGCCAAGAACACAGTGATTTGAAGTTTAGCGGGGAACGTGAAGAGTTTCACTACTCCTACAGCGTTAGAGGAACGCTGGCATAGTAACACGGCTTTCAGGAAACCACATGTTTATCTCAAACACACACCAAGCGATTGCAGACTTCTTGCTCAGCAACTCAATCTAAAGCAACGCAATCGGGAAAAAAAGATTTCAGCGCGAAGAACGTAAATACACGGAGTTATCCGATTAGTGCACCGGGGCCACGCCGCTAAGCGCGGCAGAGCGATTCCAATTTCACGCCGCCGAGCCCCCATTTCACAAGCGGTCGCTGGCCGGACACTGCCCTCCCTCCGCCTGTACCGCAGGAGGAAGTTGTAACGAGCGTATTTAAATCAGTGCTGTGACACTAGGATTCGTACGCAACTTTTTTCCCACATCGCCGGTTTATCTTCACGAGATACACAGACGAACTAAGAAAGCGGCACCCGCGAGCGTCGGACGGATAACGGGAACGGAGTACAGCCACAAACAACTGTGCTGTGTTTGTGTGCCTGTCCACATCCAGCGGGAGTCACCCCAAATCCCAGAGGGGGCTCGTCTCCCGCTCCGGACGCGGCAAGCGAGAGTGGGGCGGCGCGTCCAGCCCGCCGGGCAACAACAACCACGAGCAGCCATTTAAAGAAGTTCACACACGTGAGCACAGAAAAACCTCACCTATGCGAAAGGGGAGGCCGCGACCGCCCCTCGCTCTCTCCCTCCCTCCCTCCCCGCCGCCCCCTCCCCGTCCCGTACCTGCTCGGCGCTGCCGGGCTCATTGAGGCGATGCTCGGCGGAGAGGTGGTGCCGCAGGAGCAGAGTGCGCTTGTAGTTGCGGGTGCCCTTGCAGAGCTCGTCGTGCCCCCCAGGCAGGGGCGCGCCGGACATGATCAGCTCAGGGGGCGCAGCAGCGGCGGCGGCCGCGGTGCACCAGGCGCAGGACATGAGGCCGGTCTCCTGGCAGTAGTAGAGCCACGGGAACTCCTTGAGCCAGGAGCCCTGGAAGGAGATGTGCAGCTTCTGCAGCAGGGACTTGGGCCTGGCCAGCGGGAAGTGCCGGATGCTCTCCCCTTCGCCGCTGCCTTCGGCCTCGTCCCCGCCGTCGCCCCCTGACCGCCGGCTGCTACTGCAGCTGCCGCCCTCGGCGCCGCTGCCGTCGCCCAGGCTGCCCCCTTCGCCGTCCTCTTCGTCGTCGCTGCTGTCACTCAGTGAACCCCCGTCCTGGACCAGCTCCTTGCCCTCCAGCAGCCCCTCCGTCTCCAGTCCCTCCGCGCCCTCCAGCTCCATCTCCTCGTCCGCCCCCCGCCCATTGAAGTGCTTCCGCGGCCAGGCCGCGGCCTCGCAGCCATTGTTGGTGGCGGGGTGGGCGGCCAGGAGCCCCCCGCCGCCGCGGAAGGCCAGAGTCCGGCGGTTCCTCTCGGCGAACATGGGGCCGGAGGCGGCGGGGGGCGACGCCGCGTCCTGGGGCAGCAGCAGCTCCTTCTCCTCAGCGGCGGTGGCCTCCAGCTCCTCGGCCTCCAGCCCCTCCAGCTCCGCCTCCTCGTCCGCCCCGCGCCCGTTCAGCGCCTCGGGGTCCTGCCGCTCCCAGGCCTCGGCCCCCGCCGCCGAGGCGGCCGCCGCGGGGGTGACGAGGCCGCCGCCGCGGAACGCGAGCGTCCGCCGGTTTATCTCCGCGAACATGGCGGGCGCGCCCCGCGCCCCCCGCCCGGCCGAGCGCTCCGTCCGCCGCGGGAACGGGGCGGGGGAAGGAGGCGCCCGGCTGCCGTGCGGGGGCGGCGGCCGAGAGAAACGAAGTCCGGCCGCTCGCTCCCCGCTCCCCCGGGTCCGGCCTGGATCGCGGCGGGCGCGGGGCTGCCCACAATGGATCCCGCTCGATCGCTCAGCGGCGGCGGCGCTTCCGTCCCGACAGGCCCCGGATCGGGTCGGGTGGCAAATGAACAACGGGCTGCCCACAATGCACCGCGGCCGCCGCCCGCCGCCGCCGCAGGGGAGAGGAGGGGAGGGGGGGCGCGAGCGGGGGGCGGGCAGGAGAGAGGGGGGGGGCGGCGGGGGGGGGGGGGGGGGGGGGGGGGGGGGGGGGGGGGGGGGGGGGGGGGGGGGGGGGGGGGGTCGCGTCACGCGCCGCCCGCCCCGCCCCGCCCCACCCCGCCCAGTGTGGGGGGGGGGGGGGGACGGGGTCGACCCCCTCCGTCCGTCCTTTCCTTCCCCCCACATCTGCCCGCGCCGAGGGGCCGCGGCCCGGCCCCTCCGCTGCCGGAAGCAGGGAGGGAAGGGGGACACCGCGGGTGCCGAGGGGCGAGCGGCGGCGGCCGCGGAGCAGCGGCCGAGCCTCCTCGGGGCCCGCGAGCGGCGGTACCGTTATAGGCGCGCGGAGCGGCGCGAGCGCCTCCCGCACGTGCCGGCGGGGCGGGCCCCTGTGCCGGGCGTGAGGCGCGAGGCGCGGCGCGCGCGGCGCCGCCGCCGCGGGGACCGGGGGGCGGTCGGGAGGGGCAAAGGCAGGGACTGTGCCGTGATCCCGGCGGGCTCAGGACACAGGATCGTGGAATGGGAGAACTTGGGAGGCACCACACTGGCTCATCTGGGCCAAAATCCCTGCTCAAGCGGGGTCAGCCTAGAGCACGTGGCTCAGGATTGCTTCCAGACGGTTCCCGGGTAAGGGAGACTCCACGATCTCTCTGGGCAACCTGTTCACTACGCCACTTGCTCGCTTCCCCCCCACGCCCAGTGTGGTATGCCAGCTCCCAAGAAAAAGATGGTTAATTTCCCTCTGCCCGGAGCGCGATGTTACACAGCATGGAGTACTGCTGTCCTTGGTTGAGTGGTGTCACCTGCCCCCCTGTTGGGCACCCTCAGTCTGTTCACTGGGGCAGCAGAGTAAGAAACAGAAAAGGCCCCGGTGCCAGCGCTGTTCAGCAGTTACAGCCCATCCAGCTGCTATGAAGAACACTTAGTCAAATCCAGTACTACAGATAACAAAATGCCCTAGAGAGTGAGGATGATGGAGCCTTCCAGTTGAAGAAGTGTAGTGTTGTCAGAATCATATAATGCTCATATATATATTCAGTAGTAAAAAACGCAACCCCCTGTGTCTTGGCCTGGAAATTAGGCAGGGGTCTGGGACCCCCTTTGAGAAGACTTTACAAGAATACTATAAAAATTCTATAAACAAGAATTATTTCCTCCTTCCCAATAATTGTTTGGGAAAAGGAGATATTTGGTAGAAAATTAATTTCTATTCTGGGAAAATCATTCTAAAATTCTCAGGGGAGAGGAGACGAGAGTCAGTCATGGAGAAACAGAGAAACTGTAAAAGGCAGTATCAGATTTCTGGAAGAGGAGCAGAAATGGTCTAAATCTAAACAAAGAGATGGATCAATGATGGGAGTAAAAGGATTTTTAAATTTGCCGTGCCTCGCTGGGGCACAGGGTGGAGGTAATGATTCAGGTCTGGGTCCATTGAAGTGAGAGAATCCCATGATACAGCCTCCATACAATACAAAACAGACTTGTACTTCATAAAGTTTTAAGTTTTGTGATGTATCCATAATTTTCCATTCCAGTGGCACTTGATTCTCACCTGTCAGCATTTGTCAGCTAACTCAGCTCTTACCTACGTTAGAATTTCTTACCCATTTTATATAGTTTTTGAAGAAATATCTCGTGGTGTAGATTCTTTCTCAGTATATGTTTAAATCAGCGCAAATGGCAGTGAGTGTATACAGAAAGTTTGCAGGAAGAATCCCTGCTGGGATTCACGTTTACAGAGCAGGCTGCTTGTGATCTCCGGGAACATTAAGTGCACTCTGGACTGGTCTGTTAACCGCTATTCCATGGGCATCCAGGAATGAGCTGCCAGGAGGAATGCTAGGATAACGAGCTGTAGGGCTTCTGTTCTGAACTGCAAATAGGTGTTACTCGATTGCAACAGGTAATCTCGAGTGGTAACAAATCGATAAAGAATCATAAAATTATTTAGATTGGAGGAAGCCTCTGGAGTTCACTCATTTCAAAGCAGGGCCAACCTTACAGTAAGTTTCTCAGGCACACCTTCAGACTCTCCCCGGGTGTTTAGTTTTTGCAATGGCTCCTCCCAAATGGTCTCATCATGCTTTTGTTGTCAGCTCACTGTGAGAAGTGCTCTCAGAAAAGGGAACATACCTGAATCATTGTTGCTAATTTAATTGTTCTATAATGGCTCTGCCACTCTAGAGTCAAAATTGCATTGGTCTATTTATTAATTGCATTTCTCTGAGTGTCTTCACAGACACAGGGCTTTCTAGGCAATCTTAACTTTTGCATGATGCTTTTTGTTGCTGAGTAATTTGCAAAAATTTTCAAACCACTTAATCTTCACAGCAGAAATTCTCAGAGTGTTTTGTTGCAAATGCAGTTTTCTATTGTGTTCATGGTAAAACAAAATATTTCCAAACGCATCCTGAGATACTGTAGCAAAAATGCATTTACTTTGTAACAACATTGCAGTTTCTTCTTCGACTTTTCAGTATCCCCAACAAACCCACATGCTACTAAGGTTCATAATTAAAAAAATGACCATTGATGTACACCTGCTGGTAATTTTTAACATACCTTTTTCACCCACAGTCTCTTGAGAGTCAATAGTGTTTACTGCCAAAGTTAATTAATTTGGACAACAGCCAGGATATGTTTGCTTTTACGCTCTTTGATTGGATAGTGTAGGTAAGAAATCTTTAGAGGTTAGCTTTCCTAGTACTGTAGATGGAAAATGCAGTTTTATTCAGTCTGAAATCTAGTTTTCCAGACACAACATGGAGCTTCCTACCTTTATGTCTCACATAGTCCTTTGGTTCTTTGTGCTTCTTTCTCCTGTGTTATAGAAAGATTTAGAAATCTTCCACTGTTCAGCTGGGAAGAAACATAAACTGATTCAGCTTCCTGCAAATGAAAAGCCAGTGCCTCACACAAGACAACAGAATTAATATTTGATACCTCAATGCTACATACAGTATTGTAGTGTGGCATTTTGCTCCAAATCTAGAAAAATCGAAATATAACTATGCAGCTGTCAGTCACTGGTAGTACTTTGTGCAGGGGATGCCATCCAGAAAGGCATTACTTGTTACTTATTTTTGTTTTGCCCAATATTTAAAACTAAGTGATCATAATGCTGTGAAAAGGGAGTGAGCATCACATAAATCCTGTTCATCACGCCAGCTGTATATGTGTCTGGGTAGAATGGTTTTGTAAACATCCACACTCCTTTGTGGATGAATACAGTCACTTGTATTTCATAATGTATTTCATATTTAATACTACTTAAAGCTCACTCTACCAAAACTTTTAAATGTGTATTTGTACATACTGTTGAATTAGGTTCTCAGTGAACGAATTGTAAGCTCCCACACAAAAGCGTAGGATATTCTGCTTTTAGATGATAAAACCTGTTGTGCAAGACTCTGAGGATTAAATTCTCATACTTGCATGACTGATGCCTGTGTGTTATCCATAGAATCATAGACTGGTTTTTTTGAAAGGGACCTTAAGTATCACATAATTCCAAACCCCCCACCGTGGCCAGTGACTTTGTTACACATCCAGTGTCTCCTTTTGTTCCAGCTGAGGAGAGTATTTAAAGTCTGATGTAACTCTTACAGAAATGAGTTAGAGATGAGAAATAGATCATGCCATAACAAACATCATGCCATTCCAGTGTGTACCAATCATAAGGATTTTCAACAAAAATGCACTGATACTAATAGCATCTTATAACTGGAATGATTTGTGTCCTGCAATTCCTGCTGTAACCTAAGAAACACTTTCATAATGAAGCTGACTCTTCCAAGATAGCTGCTGAAACTGATGGATTGTTGCCTGCCTTGATTTGAAAGATAGGTGTCTGCTGAGGAAGGCAGTAACCTCTCTTGAAATGGAAAATGTAAACCCCCCTCCCCCTGAATTATTATAATTTTGAAATTAAGGAGTTCTTAGGCAAAGATATGGGAATAGGAATAATAGTTCTTTACTAGGAAAATTAAAATAAAAATACAGTATTACAAAAACACAGAACACTGACAGAGTCAAAATACAACCTGACACCCCGTCAGTCAGGATGCTGATAGCAGTCTGATTAAATAGTGGCTCCAGCCTTCCTGGAGTGACAGATGTGGTTCAGTTGAAGCAGTGGTCCTGGAGAAGGGTGCAGTTTTCTTCTGAAGGTCCGGTGATGATATAGAAGGGTCTGATTTTCCTCTGGAAATTCAGTGGAAAAAGAAATGCTCTGATGTTCCAAATCTCAGATTTTTTTTAGATAGGAAATGCTTGGCTCCTCCCCCTGGGTGGAGCATCTCTCCACGGGATGATGTACTTTTATCAGTTATGCAGTGGGACTCAATGGCCCATTAACAGAAGATACATTCCTGGAGGGAGGATGGGTCGTGGAAAAGATAAAGATCACTGCCCTACCTGGTCTCAACAGATGGTGATGGAATACATCTCTTTGGTTACATCCTGCATTGTAACTCAAGACATTGTCCTATCCCTAGAGTACATTTCTGCATTGGTGTACAGTAGGGAAGATTCAATATTTATTTTAAAGATCTTTCAAGGCTCACTAACATGATTTTTGTGTTATGAAAGCTATATTCCTGGGCATGTGAAAGTTTCAGTTCAAATACTCCTGCATATTGAGAGATTTTGGAAGC